AAATTTACATGTTTCTAAGCCTAAATCTAAAGACTTCATGATAATTCTTCAAAGTTTCATGCCATGATCATTTTTCTCCAATTTGATGTCAATCTACTTATCTAATAAGCAGTCAGATTTGCCCACAAAGTTACACAAAATCAGTTCAAATTCAATAGAAAGGAGAGGGAAAAATGCAGGTATTGTCACATGGAAAGATCAGAAAAAATACAAAGTGGAAAGGGACTTCTCCATGATAATACACTCCAAATTCTGCTCCAATATGCTTGTTGTCCTCCTGCATAATAAGCTCTAAAAACCAGCTGCTACAAACCCTTCAAAGCATGCTTCATAAACCTCAAAAATCAGTCCCTGCAACATAAATCAAAACCTTCTACAAGCCTGTCAAAACAGTCCACACCAGTCCAAAAATATGCATCCAAAAACAACCTGCACAAACCAGAAGAAAAACTATCAAAAATAGTCCAAGCATTGTATAAAAATGAGCAAAGCATAAACTATAGAAAAAAGGCATGATAACAGAGCACTCTGTTTGTTCAAATTCAAATAAATTCCCTCCCAAATGGAGATTATCTCAACTAAATAAAAAAGGGTTTCGACTCTATGAAAAGGGGGAGGAGGACATTAGAGAAAACAACACAGAAATACTAAAAATCGCTCCCAATACTCTCTCAAAGCTCCATCTCTCTCACTCTCCATAATTAAATCTATGCAAAACCCTCATCATCAAATACATCACAATAATATTTTCAACCTGCTTCATCGTCATACAATACTACCACTGAAAATAAAATTCATCTCTCAACATCAATGACACCTTACTTCAATAACTTACCACATCCATATCACAACTCCATGACCGAATCATAACACATCATATTTTGTATCTTCTCCATAGTTCTTCAACGGCATCAGAATCTTTTAACAAAAACCTCCCTCGCGAACCTGTAGATCAGAAAGGTCATCACAATAACTCGCAAGTAACCATACCTGGATTTCAAACTTCTTTAGGTTTCTTTATTCAAACCATTTTGTTGTTTTCAATTTCTACTTGATGCTTTGGATTTTCTTTATGTTGATATGTGTTTGAGAGATACGCGAAAGAGCCATGATCAAGGTATAACATAGAGTCTACTTTTGAGTTTTGTTGTTATACTGTAAAAAAGAAAAACTTCAAACCTGTGGCGAATCGAAAAAACCTGAGAGCTTAGTGATCGAGAAAAATTTGAAACTGTTGTTGTCATTATTGTTGGTAAAATCACGAGAAACATGCATTGTTGTAGCTTATCACATGACGAAGGTGAGATACCGAGTGAGGAAGAGCAATATGTTGTTGTTATCCATTTTGTTGAGTAAAATGTGAACGAGAGAGGTGAGGTTGAATAGAGAATTGCTACAGAGGAGAGAAAAGAAACCGAAAGAGATAAACATAGGGGGTGCGGTTCTTAAAGCAGAGTGAGAATTAAAGAGGATAATGTTTTGTTTTGTTATTGGGAAAATTAAAAAAAAAAATTATTTAACCATTTCCAAAGAATTTTGGCGCCTCCTGCATTGTTAGGGTTCCCTAAAACCCTTCACATTCTTCTCCCAACTAGGTCGACCCATTGGGTCTGATAATCCATTTCCATTATCTTTGTTTTATATTTAGTTTAATAAAAAGATAAAAATAACGAATTAATAAGCATGGCGTAGTGGTTAGCGTGTATGTCGGATATGCGTGAGGATCTGGGTTCGAGACCCATTGGGGCACTTTTTATCATTATTCCGCATTTTATCCCTTTTAACCCATACTCTATTTTATTATATTTTAATTAAGGTGTCTATATAATTGAAAAATAAACATGGTTAAGTGGTAATGCAACTTTGTTATAACACTTAGAATCTGAGTTCAAGTCCTAGTTGTTGCACTTTATTTTTTATTTCTAATTTTCAAGTATTTTTGCCTTATTTCATTTAAAAATCCATACAAAAAATACAAAAAAATATTAGGTTAAGTTTATAATTAATTCTTTCTTGCCCTCATTAAAAAAATACCAAAAATATATATTAGTATAATTTTGTCTTTCTTTATTTTATTTTTGGTTGTTAATTATTTAGTTATTTAATTGTTATTTATTTAATTTCCTCTTTGATTATTTAGTCTTTATATTTTTATTTGCGTCTAACTCCAAGGAAAATAATCAAATTTATTGACTTAATGTCAGTGAGTATATTTCATACGATTGTGCGAAAACCGCTTTGTACATTTTTTTAGTTTTATTAATCTAAAGATAAATCTCTTCCAAACCCTAATTTAAAAAAAAAACTCATACCTCATTTAAGCCAAAACTTTGACGCTATATCGTCGCATTTTTAAAATCTCATCCCCATACTCATTTAGAAAGCAAACCAATTTTAACCAAAAACAGATATTTCAAAAGGTTCCTATAGGATACTATAGATACATAGGGTGCTAGTACCTTCCCTTTGTATAACCAACCCTCGAACCTTCGATCTCTTTCAAATGTATTGTACTTTTCTTTACTTTTAGTATTGCACTTACTTTTCATATTTATGGGTTTTATTTCGTACTTTTCCTTTTTCCTTTGGAAATAATAAAGAGCGGTGATGACTCTTGCTTATTTACGAATCAAGTTAATCAATAGCTTAATCTTTGATTTTCATCGCTACAGGGCTAAAGACAGTAATAGATGTAAAGATAACCCTTGCGGGTTTAGGGATTGTAGTGGGATGTGAAAAGTATCCTTAGCATGTAGGTTCCTAGTTTCGACCTACAAATATTTTACCCTCCCCATAAGGTGGCTTCCTTAAGGGTATCATGGATAACACTAGAGGAAAAGGCACAGGGTTCTCCCTTAAGTGGATCCTCTTTACAGACCGAAACTTACGTCTCTAGGATGTCTCTTGAGACGTATTCCTTTCGTAGAATTCCACCTACTCTAGGCGAAGTCGTCACATAAACTCATGGGGATGATGTATTCTCTTGGCTAATAGACGAACCTTCTTTCTAAGGGTTTTGAAATATATATATATATATATATATATATATATATATATATATATATATATATATATATATATATATATATATATATATATATATATATATATATATATATATATATATATATATATATATATATATATATATTTTTGAAATAATAAAATCCCACCACAAACAAATAAGATTAAAAATACATAGAAAATAAATAAACCAAAAATAATAAATAAATGTAAATAACAAAAATAGAAAAATCCTAAAACCTTAAATCCAAGGAAAGGCTTCTAACCCTAGGGTTGAATCCCCAACAGAGTCACCGGTTGTTGTAACCGGTTTGAAATTGAGAGTCGTTACCCTTAATTTTTATCTTTGAGAAGGGTAACCCTAATGTGGTCAGAGATTATAAGTTGTTGGACTCGTTCTTAGACGAATGGAAGGTGTTAGGCACCCCTCATCTACCTTGTTCACAAGGATACAAGGGTTTAAAAATGCAATCTTTAGGAAATAGGGTTTTAATTTTTTTATTAGGAGAACTCGTCACGATTTTATTTGTATGCCTATGTATCCTCTTATGAGGAATCAGAGTCCCAATTTTTAGTTTGTAGTGTTGGTTGGTGTTTTTTATAGGATTGTGTAGAGTTGCTTTCAAATTTATCCTTGAACCTTATCTGGATTTTGTAAAAGAGTGATCGTAGACGCAGTTCGCAGTTAATTTTGAAAGTAATTCTCCTTAATCCTTTTTTGAAAATATCTTGTAGTTTGATTATGTAGTAGAAAAATGATTTGATGTTGTTGGTTAGTTTTTTTTAGTTTCAATTTGATTAAAGTATGTGGTATGACACAGAGTGGAGGAAGTCTGATATAGTCTCCTCATCACGTGGCCAAATATCAACCACGTGTCGCTCGCGGATGGTGAATTTAGCGAGTTGCGTGAATTTTAGTTGTTTTATTTTTGAATAATAAATCGATAGACGATGTGTCGACCGATTTAATTACTCGAAGATGGACATCCTATTACTTATATAATATTTGAATTAATTGATTAAAGAAAAGTTAGAATTTATGTATAAGTGGTTGTAAATTATTTATAGATGATTTCTATTTTCTAGGTTTTCTACTAATGATATTAATTTAATTAAATTAACAACAACAAAAAAATCGATTTAAATATTGAATCTAAAGAGAGGTATGAATTAACATAGGAGGAGAAGTTTAGCAAAAGAAAAAAGATTTTGAGCCTAAGGCCCAATATTGCATTTAACCCTAATTCTAAACATCAAATAAAAAAACATGGAAATGATGTGCATAATACATGTGCGCCTCTTTCATCCAATTCCCGAAAGGAAATACGACTCTAAGTCCAAATAACATTCACTTTTCAATATTGCTTTTTCCACCAATTATATCATGACATGTGTCATATAAATAATAATAATAATAATAATAATAATAATAATAATAATAATAAAAATAAAGAAAAGGAAGACTAGAGAGATATAAGCATGTAAGAACATAAGGGTATCTCCAATGGTACTACTCATATTTGAGTTTTTTGTGGACCCATTAAACCACATCATCTTGAAGTAAATCACTCTATTTTTTACTTTAATGGTGCAATTTTAAAGAATTTATATTGGGTCCCACAATTTTACTTTGTATATTAATATTTTATTCCTACTAAATTTTATTTGATTTAAAATTGTTATTGGGTCCCATAATTGATTATTTTAATAATAAAAAAATATGAAGAACCGTTGCTTATATTTGTACCGTTCATTAGCTGGAACAACTTTTTTATTGACAATTTCAATGTCAAGGACAAACCAATCTGAAAAACCACCGTTGGAGGTGGTCTAAGTTTCCAGATCTGAACTCTTCATCATGTTATCCCTCTCTTTCTCATTTCTATGTTCTCTCTCAGATTCATCTCTTGTCTTTCTCAAATTAAAGCAACACAATACCCTTTTTACTAACAAAATCACAAATATCCATCCATTGATCAAAGATAAACCAACATTAAAATCAAATCATGGAAGTAGAACAAAATTACCAAATCGGAGACCCGTAGTGGCGGCGTCAGATGTGTAGGTGCATTATAGAGTGGCTGGCAGTTGCTGTCAGAGACCAGAGGTTGCGTCGCAAAGTGGAGGGAACGTGAGTTGGAGGGAGTCGTGATTCGCGGTTGAGTGTGTCGGATGCACAATTGAGATTGCATCGAAGTTGCGGTTGTTGTTGTGTTGTGATTTGTAGCGGCTGCCTGGATGGTGTTGCTGCTCCGACGAGATTTTGATAATGTTGGATGTTTTGCACGCAGTAGTTTTCGTCGGTGTTGCAGCGACTTCTTCGACTCATCCTCTATTTGTTTTAACTTGATATTAGCAACAACACAACTTCCCATTCTTTTTCTCAGGACATGTTTTTCCTTCCTTAACCTCTCTCTTTTCGACTCACAAAGATGCATATTAACGGAATTAATTACTATAACGAAATTGAGAAAGAGAAGAAAAAACCATAGTTGTCGGCGGATAGCGAAAATGTGGACAGACGTGGATACATCTTCTTCTTTTCTTTCTTTCAGATTTTGACTTGTTGTTTAATGGTTTGAATTTGTTGAATTGGTCTTGTGTTGTTAATTACATGATGGAAATGTTATTTGTGCATACAAGTTCAATGCTTGTGTGGTTTTTATGCATTGTCTATGTATGGTGTAAAGAAGGTTTGGAATGAAGTGATGAAATTGAGATTTGTGATCGTGAATGTATGGTTTAGGTTGTTGTCTTTGAACTGAATTGTAATTTTGTTTCGGTTTTTTGAGATGGAGGTCTATGTGAGTATTAGCTTGAAATTAGTTAATGAGAGTTTTTTTTTGTGTAGTGATAATTGGTATGGTTTATGGAAGAAGTTGTGAGTGTGTAGTAATAACATATGCAAAGTCAAGGTTTTTACAAAAAAACAGATCAATGGGTTTTTGTGTGTAGTTTAACATGATAACCTTATGGTGGAGGAGAAATGAAATGGATATTTGATGGTTAAAGGTTAGTGTATGCAAAAAGGTTTGCATGCACCGTGTGTGTTCCTCAGTCGGAAAATTGGCCTCCAGAAAGATTAATGAAAATATAATATTAAAACATAAACTATCATCAGATAAATCATTATATGGTAAGAACGACAAGTAAAATGGAGGCCTGATATAAAAAATCTTTGGCCAATAAAATAATAACACCAATAACCAATAATATTTATTTGCCAAGAAAACTTTGAAACCAAATTAGAAAAAAAGATGTATATGCAATTGCAAGTTTGTTGCTAATTGCTAGTAAAATGGCTGGTGAAAATTTAGGACAAATAAGAGTCATATTCATAGACTTGAATTAGGTATAAAATACTTAGCAAGTAAGTTATCCAAAATGAATGAAAAGACCAAAGTATGATATCTAAAAAAGGAGAAAAAAATTAGTAACAAAAAAACTAAAATAAAAATGTATCACAAGAGGTTCGAACCCACAACCTCATATTTGCAAGCTTAGTTTCTTGCCAACTATGATATGTTACTTATTTCTAAATAAAACAATAGAAAGTATATGAAAGGTGTGGGCATATTAGCTATTTTAAAAGTACAAATAATTTGAAATAAATTATTATATTTTTAACTGGACTTGAGAACGAATATTTATAAAACCTCAAAATATTAATGTAAATCAAAAGAATTTTATAAAAAATCCAAGTTTGAATTTAATTTTGACCGTAGTGCCAAGGCGGACAAATTTGGGGGTATGACACCTAATACTCCAATGATTAGGCTACTCAGCATTCTAGCAATCAGAGGTTGGCACTTGGCTATAGACATCTTATTATCCAGAGGGACACCCAGATATTTAAACGGCAACTGACGTATTTCAAATCCAGTTTCTTGTTTAATACTCTTTTGACTATTGTCATCCACTCCCCCAAAATAAACTTTACTTTTAGGGATACTCATATTCAAACCAGTTGCAGCAAAGAATTCTTTCATTTTCTCTATAATCAGCTTAATTGATCCAATATCTCCTCTGGAAAACAAAAGAATATTGTCAACAAAATAGAGGTTTATGATCTTTATCTTTTCACACTTGGGGTGGAAATTGTAGTTGGGATTATCTTTCAACTCCTGCAACACTCAATGAAAGTATTCCATAACTATAACAAACAAAAGGGGGTATGGGTTCCCCCTACCTCAACCCTTTATTTTCCTTAAGCAACTCAGGAAATCCCATTGATAGCAAATATATAAGACACAATTGTAACACAAGCCCATATCCAGTTGATGGATATTGTAGGGAAGTCCATTTCTACCATAACTTGAGCTAAAGTTGTCCATTCTACAATATTATAGGCCTTTTGTATATCCATTTGGATCATACACCTCGGGAATATGTTTTTCCTACCATAGCCTCTAATAAACTCTTGAGCAATCATGATGTTATCATGAATTTTCCTACCAGGTATAAAAAAATATTGACAGACATGAATAATGCTATTAATCACCCCCTATTAATCAACTCTTCAAAGCAAATGTTTAATTGTCCCTCACAACACTCTAAAATGAGAGTATAAGAGAAAATATAAAAAGTCAAATACAAACTTAAAATGCTTTTGACTGGTACATCTTGTAAAGAAAAACTTGAATCCTATATATATATATATATATATATATATATATATATATATATATATATATATATATATATATACATATAATATTGGATTCTTTATTCCATCACTAAACTAAGTTGTGTGGGACTTAGAAGAACTTTAATCCTATATATAGCCTTGGACTCCGTCTTGATTTACAAAAATAACCAATGTAGGACTTTTTCAACATGATATTTTCAACCAACTCCAACAATATCCACCTTGGTTGAAAATAATACATAAGCTTTCATTTTCTTCACCGAAAGTCATACTCCACCATAAAGAGTATAGTCACTTGAACCTACACCACTCCAAGAATTTTCACACTGTCTTCACCGACAATCATAGTTTTAAAAACTATCACACTCCACCTAAAGAAGAGTATACTTCACTTAAAGCTAAATCACTTCAAGAATTTTCACATGTCGAAAACAGGTTGAAACTTTATGGTGCAACTTCCATGTTGGCTGGAAGCTCTTCAACCGTCAACATAATCTCATAACACACTTTACCACGTGTTAATCCACTAGCAATAACTCGTCTTTTTCCATGACAACAGAAATGTCATGAGGGAACACTTCTCAATTTTCAGACAAGACTGTCCTCTCTCACAACGAGAGAGACATTGCTAGCATTTGACTCATATCCCTTCTCGGCGCTGCCCCATCAGGATATTTATACTTTATACGTCCAATCATTCCACATTTCCAACATCTCACATTTGTTTCATTGTTTTTCTTCACATAAGGACCTTCCTCTAGCAACCAACATTGAGTTTAATGAAGTATTGTCCTCATATTTCAATCTTTTTTCTTCAGAAATAATTTTACTAGCAAATTCTTCAAAATTCAAAGTTTCCTTCTCATGTATCAAAACAAGTTTAATATGCTCATAGGAATATGGAAGAGACCATATGAGTCTTAAATCTTTATTTTCATCTTCAATCTTAACTCTAATAGTTTCTAATTTAGAAACAATACCATTGAGAATACTTAGATGATCAGACAATTTTGTATGTCCTTCCATACACAAGCTATGAAACTACTCCTTCAACAATAAACGATTTGATATACTCTTTACTTGATACAGCCCTTCAAGTTATTCCCATAGCTTTTTGGATGACGACGTACAAAGAATATTCGCAAGAATATTCTTAGCCAAAGACATGTGGTATATACTCTAAGCTCTCAAATCTAGTTCCTCTCACTTCTCGTTGTCCATGTTAGAAATGTTTTCTTTAAATGCATTGTATAATCCTAATTGTATCAAAATATCTTTGACTTGAATTTTCCACAAGCAAAAATTGATTCTTCCATCAAATTTCTCTAAGTCAATCTTCACTGCACTTGAAAAACTTGATATTGCAACCAAAATTGTTCCTGCAGCAAACCAAATTTTTTCCAACCAACACAGAGTATAAAATTTATTTTATGATGTGGAAGATCATACAAAACTGCAACCATACAACATACTAAAATTTATACCCTACCAAACCTAGGCTTTTGATACCACTTCTTGGGAGAAATAAACCATATAGAAAAAAGATGAACAAAATAACAATACAAGAGATTAACGTGGAAACTCTAAAACCGGAGAAAAAGCCATGACTGTTGTCAAATGACAACGAGAGAATATCACTATGTGAAAATTGTTACAACACATAGACTATCCTCAATCACCCTAAGGCCTCAATATACTGCACTCTCCAAAGAAAATGTTTAACTACCCCTCTGTTGGCTCCCAAATTCGACACTTACTATATTTGGTCTTTTTTTGACCAAATAACTGGAATGAACCAAGCTAGGAAGTATGATTCGACACATGAAATAACTTAAAGAGAAAATCTAAGTTATATTGGAATCTTCGACCAAGGGCTCATTCGACTGAAGAAGACTTATGTTGCTCGACTGAGAGAAAGTGTTCACGCTTTGGCACATGGAACGAGGACTATTTGAATTTTGAATTATTGGAGGGAACGGCAGTTTTCATCAGCGTCTGAGAAGAGTCAATGTGGCCAAAAGCTATGGGTCGAGAGACATGCAGAAGACACTTGTCTTCATCCTAGCGCAGAATGTTCCCTCAACGGTTACCTATTTTAGTATAAATTAAGAAGCTTGTGTAGTTTTTAAGTGTGTTCAACCTATTGTACTAAATCACTCAAATATTATCCAAGTAACTACTGCGTGAGAAAGGATAAAGCTGATCCATGTACGTTGGAAACACCTTTTTTCCTTAATGAAAGTCTTTTTACATTACTTTACCATTATCCTGCAAAGTTATCTTTTTTACTTCTTTTACTTGCATTTCTATACTTTTGCTTACTTTTCAACAATCTCAAACATCCTTCCTTTGGGTCGAACGTGCGTTCTTCCTTCTTACCCATTTTACATAAAAATTAGCATATGTCCTGGGATTAGTTTGATCGATCCCGTAAGTAAACCAAAAAACTTACCTTTTTGGAGATTAGCGGTTGTTTACCAAAAACAACGGTAAACAAATTGGCACACCTGGTGGGACGTTGCTAATTTTCTATGTTACTGTGTTTTCCTGTACAGTTATAACATTGCATGTTATTAAGAAGTGGTAGAGTAACCAACAAATATACTGTTAGGAAGGAAAATAGAGAGAGTAGTATGGCTAACGAGCCAAACCATGGAGAAATACCTCCACCAATCACAGGAACAGCGGTTACTACTACTGTCGAAGGGAATATCCCAACTTCTATTGGATCAATGCCAGCGTTAACCACGAATCAAACTGGACCCTTACTTTTGTATGTGGGTCCAAGAG